AACAACAACAACCAAAAAAAAAAAAAAAAAAAATACGAAATACAAATTCTTGAATCTTTGGAAACATTGACCACGGCGCAGTTCAGAGATATTTCTGTTTGAATATTCAACCTTGAAAGGAAATGTTGAAAAGGCTTCCTTTGGAATATAATGGGATAACTTATGCTTGCCCTGTGCCGGGGTTCGAGAGCTTGGCCGTCGTCATTCTCAATCTCTTATTTTTTATAAACTTGGCTTGCTCCGCCTACAGGAAATAGCCCAATTGTGATTTACTTTAAACTGGTGGGCCTGTGTTGGTCAGTGTGGTCCATGCTCACAGCCGAGAGAGTGGAATAAGGGCAAAACAATCGTGTAGTGCATCTAACGGGTCTACTCTACGTCATGTCATATTATTTCGGGGGATTTCCCGATGTCATGTCGTGACGTCGAACTTGGGGAATGCCCTGCTCGGTATTTGTTCCGTCATACCTGTCTGCAGGTGCTGATTTTAGTATTTCAACGAAATAATAATTGAAATCAAGGATGTCCTGTGCCTATACTTGCTTTGTTTTAATCGAACGTAAGCCCTGGGGAATGTCGTAATTATGAGACTCACGGTACATACTGGTTTTCCCTAGGTTCTGTGGTTCTCTACCTCGCCATGCATGCAGGTGGTGAAAGGTCAAATTTAACATACACTCATGTACAGTTAACAATATTCAACTTTGGCTCCGTCTCAGGCTTCAGCTGTGTTTTTACAACCTGACTTTGAAGCTGGAAGCGCAATAATTAGTCTAATAGTGCCACAAAACATCAAATATGATGCAAGTGGGCCAAAAATTACAGAAATCCAATTTTATTTAAACGCCTCAGGCCCGCAATCAGGGATTGGTTTCGGGGACGAGGCCTGAGACGGAGACGAAGTTGAGTATTAATTGGAAAACGGCCCAAATCAGATCATTTTTTAACTTAAAAATTACAAATGACGAGATTATAATTACTAAACATTGTGCCTTCTGCCACTCAAAAATGGGCGAGGTGTCTCTGACTTGTTTCAAGGGAGGGGAAAAATCCCACCACGAATACTAATTCCAGTAGTGATTATTTGAAAAGGATTACTAATAAATGATTCATCACCACTGTTAGGTTCGTTTCTAGCAGTTAATTTAGCTCGATTTTTATTTTCGATTTTATTGATTTATTTCTTATTTTTAATTAATAAATTTTTCTTTAATCCAGGGTCCACAATACTAGCCCAAGAAAATGTCAAAATAGCAATGTCAATAAGGCCAAGTTTGCAGGACCGTGTACTTACCTGATGGATCGCTGAACGTAACCTTCATCCATATTTTGTCACTTGTGCCGGAGTCGACCCTGGAAACACTATCGACGTCGCAACCGTGGCTAATGTTTTTCCTCTGAAAATAGATCCATACTTTATCTTGCAATTCGCCTAGTTTACATTCAGTGAATTCGTTTCGCGGAAGTCCTGCGTAAACGGAGCGGCTGGAAGTATCCATGCCTAAGTTGGAGAATCCTTAAAGAGTGCTTATCAGGGAGATTTTATATTCGCATCGTTCAAGGTATGTCTTGATGACCGACGATCAGGAAAGCTGAGGGGGAATGTTGATACTGTTACACCAGAGCTGCGCAGCCATTTATATTCTGTCGGAGTACCTGCCCCTGCACAGCGCATACTGATTGGCTGAAGTCGTCACGTGACCATTACATTTGTGCCCTAGTAGGAATTCCCAGTTTGGTTTTCTATTGTGACGAGAAGAACCGGGATTTACAGCTTTTATTTATAGAACAAGATTCTATAAATAAAAGCAGTGTAAATTCCCATTCTCGAAGTAAATGCGCCATACACACCACACCACGGAACATGCACGTTCTGTTGGTGCAGCTATCAAAGTGGCGTGGGGACCAGGGATGTGGTGTTTCTCCCTCTTGGAGACCGTGTTGCTGATTGTTGTTTACTTGGACTTAAAAAGCACAAGAATTTTAGAAACGGTATACCACACCTGATCGTGGGGAATTCTTCACGGGTGAAATGGACAGTCACCCTTTTAAAAGAAATCCCATCCCCCACCCCGTACCGTACGTACCCAAGACCTGGATTAAAACGCCACTGACTGTCATTAGTTATACGTGAATCGGGTTTAACGCATATACATGACGATCACTAGTAAATCCACTCTATAATGATAAAAATTGATCCTTGGAAAGTTGTACAGATGATCTTTTGCTTGTGTTAATATGCCAGTGCGAAATTAATTTCTAATGCATGTTTCCTCAAAGTGCATTTGCTCTGTTCACGTGGCCTTTTCAGGCAAATGTACAGCAAATCTTGGAGATGAAGACTATAAATGTTTCAAAGATGAGCTAATGGTGTCTCGAAAGCTCCACCTAATTATGCCTGTGGCAGAAAACCGCGCTATGAGAAGACGTAATATATGCACAAGCACAACTGCGCATGCTCTCTGAACAACCGAGTTGTAGGCTCACGGACTTCTCTCAGAAGGGTTACTTCACAGTGTTTTATTCACTTCATTTTGCCGTTTATGCCCTTTACAAGATTCGTAATCATATCACTGCACGAAGCAAAAGTGCCTGTTATTCTTACATATTCCTTTGGACTTTTATTGTGACCTATATTTTAGATTTAGCTCGGAGGAGCTTTTGCTTTTACTTCAGTGGCTTAAGTTAAAGATAGGGTATTTATGATTCTGCTGTACTCTTCCAATAATAGGTTAATTGTACCCTCTTTGTACATGCTACGATTTGAAATCTTAATGAATCAAGAATTAAGAGCGATTGATCAATTATTTGGATCGGTATATAATTGCCATACTTCAACAAACAAGCATAAAAAAATTAAACATTAGTCACTTTTGCGTTTTAAAGTCAAAGGAAAATTACATCTACGTTAAAATACATCAAACATGTTATCTGGGATAATCGGTTTTACAACTTCGGAGTAAAAAGAAAAGCTTTCTAAATATTGTAACACTAAACATTCTTATGATCATTATTGAATATGGGTGATATACTGAGTAACGTATACATTGCGAAAAAATGGGTAGAATGAAATTATCTTGAAAAAATCTTGATGGTGGTAATCACTTCTTGGCCGGAAAGATCTTTTTGTAAAATTAAGTTCGAAGTTAACATTTTTATGCAATAAAATGTTGCACATTCAGAGAAGGGTCTCAAACTTCTAATCACAGATTTACCTCTAAGGCTAGGAGCTTTAACAAATATTCTCAACATTATTAATATTACGAGCATATCACTAAACACAGCTACCAGTATTTTCAAGTTCATCTGAAGGACCACAAAGATATTACTTGACGCAATATGACCTCTGTGACTGCAAAAACCATCATGATTACTCTTTGTAAACACGTATATCTAAAAAATAATAGATAAATGAAACACATGCCGACAGACATCAGGTATGATAAACACGTAAACGTGCATTGTTAAAACTATAAACCAGAATTAGTTTTAGGTGTGATGTTTTTGTTAAAGTTCTAAATGTCTATGGACATTATTGCAAATGACAAAAAACAGTGTTTTAGAGAGCAAGTATTGAACTCCAAGTACAGTTTGAACAGAATGACGATAAATCGAAATGCTCTCATACATCAACTCGCTCTCAAATTTCTTTCAAATTTCCAACATGTATGAGGAAATGTTTTACGTTCGGATTTTCATTCTGTACAAAAGATTAATTTAATAAGCAACTCAATTACAGAGTTTTCCATACCAATCTCCCGTACCCAATTTAATCCTGCTTTACAAGTGAACAAGTGCAAATACTATGAGCGACAAAACACCTCTTGAAAGAAATGAGTAATTTAGATTTTTTTTCTTCTTAATTATTTCATGTGCTTGTTCATCTGACTCTTCATGATCAAAGTCCTCATTTTAAATGATATCACTTTTTAGCAATGCTTTAAATTATTTCAAAGGATGGATTTGTGCCAGGGAGATGTTAATTAATTTGGGAGTTTTGCCCTGCTCGACATGTATTATACTACTGTATACTCAGAGTTTGCTTCCGAAGGCTTGTGAAAAACACAAGCGAGATTATATACACTGAGTAGGCCTAAACAGGTTTCAATTGGTCCATAGGGAAAGCAAACAAGCACTTACCACACTAAATCTTCATAAGTTCATTTGACTAAATGTTAAAAATTCCCGTCGCTGTATGCCACAATATCTGGTCACCATGGTATCGCCACGGGTGTCACATCATGACCGCACAATACCACGAACTGGCTAATAAAACTGTCCATATTATGTCAGTTTTCATACTGATTCAAATTAGATCTTTTGTGTAATGGAAAGCGACGTGTCAAATGATTTCACACATCCCAAAGTCTCAATCATCCGATCGAAGCTTGGCTTACTCATGTGAATTTAATGAGGAATTCTGGGTATGCTTGTGCATCCTGAAAGACGACAAAAATGCCAGGCTGATTTGCATTATCAACCACACTGTCATACTGTTGATCTGGATGACTCGGCTTGTTTGGAGGAGTTATCATACCTTGACTTCCTCTGGTGTAATCTCCAACTAGGACCTTTGTCACGAATACATGCTTTACACCACTTGCATTGGGCTTTGCATACTGGGGCTGTGCAGAGTAGTTAGCATTCACAGCAAAGTAGGTTCCATTTCCGTAAACAGTTGCTGAAAAAGAGCAATTAATTGATTTAGTTTATTGAATAAATTTACCCTGTATAGAACAAAAAACACTATTTATTAACGAAAGCAAGTCAATCTCCAAGTTTCGTATGGAAAGTTTAATGTTTTATAATATCGTTACTCGTGCGTTGATCTCAACCTGATGAGAAAAAGAACCATTGCCGTTGGCTGACTGTGTAGATAATTCTAACTTATTTCATCTAAACTGAATGCTCCTACCATTCTTGCCACAGAAGCTGCGATTAAATCCCTGCTTGTTGATCTTGTCACTTGTCGTCTCATCAGTCCCATGGTACAGTGTCTTTTCAACGTCTGGTCGGCCGAGACGAGCTTCCATCGCTGCCTTGCGGGCTTGGTATTGCATCAATAGGTCTTTGTTCTGAACTCTCTGTATCTATTCGTAGAAGCGTGGAAGACAATTCATGTGATACATCTTGAATCAAGCAAAGGTTTTTACAAAACAAACCACGTTGTTCATTCGTGGAAAGCTACATTTGAGCCAAGCAGGATGTGTATAGGGGAAATCAATGAGTCAGATAGATAACGTACACCAATTCGATTTTTAAAAACTATAACAAACAAACCTCCTTCTACTCAGACGTGTACAAAATACTTTAACGGAAAAGGCGACAAAGGTCGGTATATATAAAGTAAATTTTCTTAACTAGATCAAAACTTTTTACCTCTTGAATCTGATGGCCTGCCATAGTTGCATTGAACTGTGTTTCTACAGTGATGTATTCGTTTGTGCCAGCAGTCAGTGGTGCCATTTTGAAGTGTTCATTTTGCCCCATAGGAATCCAGTTGGACGGCATTTCAAAGGCAGCAACTGAGTAACATACGTAGATGGAAAAGAACACAACGCTTGTTGGTGAGTCAATCAGCGTACCACTCACTGATTAGTCGGTAAAAGGGTATCAAACACTTCGTAGTTCAATACTCATGGAATTACATTTGTTTAAAACTTGGGGTATTATACCGGTAAATGGATGTATATTCGGTTGTGGTCCAAAGTTTACGTATACATGTACCTTGACTGAAACTGAACAATTTTACTAGAGGAAGACTTGATGTAAGTAATGTCCCCCGAACCGAGATATTGAAAAATGGGAAGAGCCACCAACATAGGGCTGGGTAGCTCAGTTGGTAGAGCACTAGTACGGTATTCCAGAGGCCGCAGGTTCAAATCCCACTCCAGTCAACTTCTTTGTTCATCTTTATAATCGATTTAAGTAATTTGTTAGACTTTACCTATTCCTGTGCACCTTTAACTGAAATTTATGCACATTCTCATGTAAACAAAATTGCAAACGTAGGCTAATGCATGGTTTGATTAATCTGCAACAATAGAGAAATGTAGCCAGGAATATAGGTGTGGAGTTTTCAAGCGTATATAAACATAATTGGCCAGAAGTGCGGGTGTAAAGAAATTTTAAACTTCAAAGATCCATTTTTTCACAATGTATGAAAACAATCCTGGCTGAAGAAACGGCTGGAGAAATGATTTGTGTCTCATTTAAGCAGTTGGCCAAAAGTAATCAGGAAATGGCATGTTACCAACTAATGCACTAAGGATGAGGAACAGAGGTGAAAAACCGACACACCTTTTGTCAAGTCGATTCTGTGAACATTGAGAGTCCCTGCCCTTGAAACCTCCTGCATATCCTTGAAATGGATTGTTACTTTTCCTTCTTCTAGATTCAAGGTTACGGAGGGACGTTTGCTATTGTAGGCATCCTCTATGAGAGTATTCACTTCAGGGTCATATGCTTCTACTCCATGTGGTGTACTGTACTTCCACTGTACCTGTGGGGTAAACATTAATACTTATAAAAACACACAAGATCTAGATATGACTTCAACTCGATGTTCAGAAAGTGCAATTTGAAACATAAACACTTCAATAAATATGCAAACAAAAGCTTCGTATTATCACAAGAAACTTTTGAAAGAATGTGCTTACTAACTTGTTTAGACAGGAGTTCAATTCGTTGAGCCTCGAGCTCCTCTTTTTGCATTTTTGTGAACATCTTTTGAATCTGGATGTGAGCATCCTTCACACTGATTACACGACCCTGAACTCGGACACACTTGCCACGAGGGCATGATATTTTCACCTGTAACAATTTGGAAAGAACATAATTGACTGAACTGGGGGTTATTAATCTAACTAGGCATATCTTCAATATAATTCACGCTGAACAAAGAAAATGGACGTGACATAAAAACATGTTTTAAACCGTACAAACACTTCACCGTCGGAACTTTGGGGTTGATTGTAACTGTTAACAATTTCATATCATTTCCATTCACATAGTTTCAACATAAACTTCCACGGTATTTTGCACGGAATCTACCTGATTCCTCCAAACTTGTGACATCTTTAACGTTCCTATTAACCCTGTAAAGATTCAATGTTAGCAGATTTTCAGGGACGGAAGGGATATGGCTGGCATATCCGTACGAGACAAACACGTGCGAAATTCTGTGATGTGGTGCATATCGTGCTTCAACTTTAGTAACTCGCGTTGTTGTGCCAAATATTGATAATTCAGCCTTGCATTATGAAAGTGCCTCAACTATTATTTCATCTCTCCGCTCAATGTTGATTGAAATTAAATGAAGGCAACATACATTGTATTTCTTTTCAATGGCTTTGACTTCAGCAATGTGTTCATCCGTCATCTTGCCTATCATTCCATGGTCATCAGGTCGATCCTGTAAAAGAAAGAAAAAATGCTGAAACTAAAAGCATTTACAACGCAGCTAAAAGTTACTTACGATAGCCTGAATCCTAGTTATAGAAGATAAAAAATGTAATGTGATCTGCGAAAATCCTTGGTGAGCTTTGTAATATGCGTGCATACAAAATTCAACTGAATGGACAACCTCTTGTTTTTAGATGTATTACATTTATGATTCTGGGTTGTTTATAACATGAATCAAGGTTGTCTACATTTACAAATTAATCAGTTTTGAAAAGAGGACAATGTCAAGATCAATTAGAACTTGATATGCACCGAAATGACAAAGCTCACCATGTGAACGGTTTTTGCAGATCACACCACCTTTTTGGTCATTCATGGGTTCCTTACCACACTTTTTTTCCCATGCAAGTTCCCTTGCTTACCAGGCAAAATTCAGCAACTTTCAGTGTATAGCGTCCTTACCAGTCGAGATCATGAAAGACCACTCTTGCAATGACACCCCATTGAATAATATCCAATAAGCAGAATTTTACTTAATTCTTTGGGTAAAAAGCACGGGAAAGAGTTCCACACACAATGTATCAAGATTCAAGAAAACGTTTTATTCCGTACTCTTAACAAAATTTACATTGATAATTAAGGGAGCTTGATACATAGAAATTGACAAAATGGATAAGCGACAATACATCAGAAATCTAAGAAACTAAGTACATTGAAAATAGCAATGTGGATATAAATAACCTTTTACACATACTTGTACTTAATTAAGAGAGATTAGAGCTTATAAGATAAATAAAAGCAGTCAATATACAAATGACAACAGAAAATAGCATGAGGCTGTTAAATAAGCATAGGCTTGTATAAATAGAACACAAAGTTCATTTGACACCCTGTATACAAACCCTCTGAGACTGGTCTGAAAAACTGAGTTTTCATTGATATATCTTATACTCTGCTGCTAAATGGACTTTCCAGACCTCTAAATGATTTCTGGGAGCTACTTGATGCCCCGCGCCCCCATCCAATGTTGCGTTAAAGGCTGGTGCGCGTCCAGAGCGATCCACTGCTACATTGGAAGGAGGGGGGAGATTGGGGGTGGTTGAAGGGGGCGGGCACAATCTAAACTACCCGAGTCTATGTTAACGCACATTGTGAAATGTTTCAAAGCATGGCATAATTAGTTTCTGGCAATTCTTACAAATCATACGAGTCTGCTTACGTTGGGTTCTCGTACTATACAAACAACACAGTTCCGTTTTTGGCCTTGCCTACTTCTTCCGGGATAATGTCCACTTGAAAGGATTGCAGTTTCAGGGGGCATGTGGTGTTGAGTTTCTCGTCCTGCAGGTGGACAATAGTTCATCGATTACCTTGACCCTGAAATCTAAGCTAGTGAGCAGCCGCTCTGTGGGGATGCCGTTGTACACGATGGTAGCATTAAGCAAACAGATGTCAAGAATCGCAAAGAAAACTTGTTTCCACCATTTCAGGGATCTATGATGATGTCTAAAGTACTGACACATTTGTGATGCTAAGTTACTTCCACCCAAGTACACCGAGTGTTAGCAGATTCTGCAGATAGCGTCTGATCTGCATAGCAGTTGGTCTCCCTCATCAGCAATTGCCAAACTGCTCCACAGAAGAAGGCTACACCCAGTCGTTTCCGTGAAGTTCACAGGTAGTGGCTTTTGGTATTAAAGTGGAGGTTGCTTGCCATCCAGTCCTGCATTATTGAAAAATAATATTAGGACTAAGGAATTAGGAATTAGGTAGGTAGGTTTTATTCAGCTGTTCATTGAAGAGGTAATAGATGGGGTTTCCCTGATTTGGGTTTGATCGCAATGCCTATTCATGGCACACTGCCTGTAAACTAAATCTTGATTCACCGCACGTTTGGTTATATACACTAACTCTCAAAGTGGCATTCTACCAAAGTAAGCGTGTTCTGTTTTCCGTACGATATGCCAGTAAGAGGGTGATCTTTTAATATGTTTAATTTCCGCTGAGCAACCATGACAAGTTACTCTGCATTGAGACGGCACAGTACATTTCAGGGTTTAAAGAATAAAGATTGGAATCCTTCCTTTTCCTTGATTAGCAATTAGGATTCGTGACACATTCCGGACATTGGGAAAAAATATTGCAAGCCTGCTAGTGGCTATAAAATGCAATACATTGTAATGATAATGATATGAATGACTGAGACTACAAAGTGTCTAGCTGCAAGGTTGTACATGCATGACATGTGTATGCCTTAGGCCTACCTGAAGTTCGGCTTGTGGGTGCCCGGTGGCTTTGATGTGCTGAATGATATGGCCGCCATTAATTCATCATCACTTTCTCCTGATGAGGACAAGGAGGAAGTTTCATCCAAGGATATTTCGGAGCCACTATCTGCTAAAATTTCGTCGACGACGGTCCGAAGCGCGGCCATTTCGCCTCTTGTGGTTTTTGTAAGGACGCGCCAAGCACGTCTCCAAGCCATCTCGTCCAATCAGAGCGCTCGAGACGATGTCAAACGGGACAGAGCGCTATTTACATTTCTGTTGCTGGCATTTGGTATGTGTGCCAAAGAGGCACGTTGGTAAAGAAGTGACAATTAAATCGTGTGCAGTAGAGGCTCTTTGGTAAAGAAACCGCATGCCACTTTGAGCCCAGCTGGCACTTCTGGGGCTTAAAGGGTTATGGATTCTTAGGGTTAATTTCGTGGTAGTTACAGTCCCCAAACTGCAAGTTTGCAAAAATGGTGATCCTACACTTAAAAGGCTGAGCCTTTTAATTTCAATTCGTCTTGCTAATTCATAAAACCTTTAATTTCATGAATTTGAGCATTTTTGAAGGCAACAAAGCAGCGTTAAAAACAAGATACATGTATACCTCTGACATATATTCTTCACTTTGGAACTGGTCGATCTTGTCGACAGCCTTCCTTATAGAGGACATGTCCATGGCGCATATATTAAGAATGATTGTTTCTTGAAGGCTTTCTTCCTCGGATAACTCATCCGCAGCTGCAGTGCCACTAGAGAGAGTGGACAAGGCGGATTTGGCCAAATCTGTCGAGCAAATTGGACAGAGGTGCAATAATCTTCCATGCTATTGTCAGTTGACCATAACATATACAATAAAGTCAGAATTTGATGTGGGAATTCAAAATGTCTAGACTTGCTTGGTATTCTTTAACAAAGGGACTAAATACACTTGTCAAACATGTAAAGTGCAAGAAGGACAACAATTTAATAAATAGTACCCCATTCAAAAAGTGAAACAAAGACTGTACGTAGTGATTTTGTTGATAGGGTAACTGAACCTAAATGGAATCAAAAGGTTTACTTACCTAGGCCTTTAGACAGCCAGCCTTTTTGTTTCTTGTAGGAAGTACCAACTTCCCTGTGCAAAGCATCCTGAAAACCACTGACCATGTTTGGCAGGAAAATAACCAAACGGATGAGATGGAGATGGCGCGGTTTCCTCTGCACTGCGAATTCACCAACAGCTTTCAACATGGCATTGGCACAGTCCTCCACAGACTGACCTGCTTTGCCTAGGGTAAAAAAATCCGAAAATTCAGTCAACTGGACTCAATAGAAATCTATCGTGTAAATCCATGTATTACAAGTCATCTAATCTACTTTCTGTCGTCCCGTTTTAGTGTGAAAGATCTACAAGTTCCTAAATTCATTTCGTCGATGAGTTTAAATTAACTTAAAACCTAATATAACGTGTTTTACCTGTGCCCAGGGCTGGAAAGGACACTGACTTCAATTTGCCTTCCTCTGCCTGCTTCAATGTCTTGAACACGATAGTTTTTATCTCTTCCGGAGTTTGAGGGGTGACGACATGAAATATAGAGTTGCACTGAAGTGATCCACTAGTAGTGACATAGACAAGTTTCTTTGGCTCTGTTATGACAGAATGTTATAAAAGAAATATATAACAAAGGAAAATGTGTGTTATACAAATAGGGCCTACAACTGCTTGTTAAAGATTGGTGTATTTGAGAAAATTCTTTCACAGATGTGCCGATACGTCTTCATCTTGCTCTTTAACTTTCTCATTTCTAAGGCAGAATGGCTTTGACAATCATGGTTTTTACTTTTGACGAGCAATGAATGGTTTACTTTTCATGGTAACGCAATATGCTAAAATAATTTTGTTTCAGAAAATCAAGTTTTCAACTATATACAGGTAAAAAGAAGAAAAATACTTTTCTTTTTTCTTTCTTTTAAATGAAAGTGCTTTTTGAGTAAAATGGCACATAAACATTCACCTTTTTTGCGTTGCAGTTGACACTCGTCGAGAAGAACACTTCCGCCGTGAGCCAGGATAGCCTTAGAAACGGGTCCTATAATAATAAAGCAATTTTCAAAGTGTACCCTACTATTACATTTTTTCCAAATATATGGGCAAGTTTGAAACAATAGAAATATTGACAGCTATAATACTTATGACTCGAATTTCAGGTACAGCATGATTGATTTGTAGTTCATATTATATTTGTGAACATTTGGAATTGCTATCTGACTTGTATGGTTGTTTTTTTAACATTCCCAGTCTGTGGTGCGGCCCTTATAAATAACCACCCATTCTCCTGATCTAGTCTTCAGTGGCCAAGCACATGTTTCTTCCCTCATGAAATGGCTGCATTGCATTTGAACTGCTTGATATTAGACGTCCTATTCTAGTTCCTGGAAACAAAAAGCAGGATATTAAACAGAAATACCTTGTAAATCCAAACCTGGTCCCACGCTATTGACGATGGCATCAGTTGTTTCCTTAATCAGATCCCCTTGTCCAACCTGAAGACAAACGGATCCTATCTTGGTCTGTAGCATCCCTGTGTGATCACGCCGTATCTCTGAGTAGGACTGACGATCAGTAGGAGCTTAGAAAAAATCAAGAAAAGCCAACAGGTTTTCTTCTCTCTAAATAAGCAAATCCTTGAAGACAATGGAGCTTACACACTGTCGTTGGAATTGATGATGACAACGTCAAAGGTGGAAGAGCTAATAAAGAAAAACAGCATTCTAAGTTTGTTCTGATAAAGTTCCAGTTGGCAAACTAAAACCAGAGACGTGTTACTTTCTGGCATGACTTTGGTTTTTGCAGTTGAGGAGGAAACAATGCAAGAGGAAAAAACAAAGGGAAGACGAGGGAAGTACAGTAGAAGTGGAAAATTAATTACTTGATGCTGATCCAGGCTTTTTCAACTTCCTACTGCGGCCAGTGGGGGCGTAACCCGTAGCTCCCCTAGATATTCCAGGGGTCAACAGACGTTGAATTTCACCTTCAAAACCCTTTAACACAAAAAAGATTTGCAATATTGTAATAAAAATTGGCAACACAACTCTGTTCATATGAGTGGTCTCTTATCCTTGATGAAATTGCGGATGGATGCCATGTATTTTCAGTGTAAACTTACAATCAAATGAAAATCTCACAATGTTACCAACAACATTTGGCATCTTTGGGCATTTTGTTGTTTAAAAAAATAGAAGATGATGACCGAGTGGCTAATGCATGTATAGTAAAGCAAATCCCATCAACGGGGCACATTATTTCAATATAAATCAATTCATTATCTAATACCTGGATAGTACTGGCATCTTTGTCGTATACCACAAACCGGACATCCTTCAGTACACCGTTAGGATGTAGATTGCTGAATTCCAAGATGGATTCATACATAACCTGTGCAGTAACACCTGCTGGGTAGTTCAAGTTGCCTGTGCCGAGTGCTGGGATGGCGATGGACAGCATTTCATTTTGCTCAGCTTGCTCCATTAACCTAAGGATAAGTTTCTTCAGGGCCTGATACATAAAATTGAAACACTCACATATCACTTCCTCTTCCGTCTCCTTCATTGCCTATTTTTAAAATTTGGATTGTGTTGACAAGATTATGGTTATATGTATCGGCCTAACCAGTTCTAGCATTAATTTCAAAGCCAATCTCATTGGTTACAACCAGCCTGCAAGTTTCGACAAAAATTTAATTAATATTGCCAACATCACGTGATGCCCAAGCCTAAGCTCCTTGACAAAATTACTCTCACCTTCTCTGATACCCCTGGTTGGTAACCTGCACAGACACAGTGGTAGATTTTCTTGCAGGTGAGAGCACCTGGTCCTGTCTCTATGAAGTCCCCTGAAGGAATTTTGCCTCGAGTTGCAGTCAGTGCATCACATTCCTGCTGTATTGATAACCCAGCTACTTGCAGTATTGTCTGTGACACCTTCCCATTATTAAGTTTCATGTCAGATCCCGCGGTGTTAACAGTCACATCAACCTGGTATATCAAAACGATAGAAACATCTGCACCTAAATAAGAAAAGTTTCTTGCTGCAAAAGCCAAGTATTATTGGTCAGACTTACGAGAGGTTGGTACGCAATATTCCGATGAAATCAGGAATCAGCTACCTTTACAAACTTTGAATTTCGTTAATAAATGTGTGACAAGCAAAGTGTTACCGTTTCGTTGGTGATGCTTCCTTTCTTCAGTGTTATGTTAATGCCTTCATTTGTTGTCAGTGTGTTCTGTCCTGATGCAGTAAACTTTGGTGCAGGCGCAGGAACAGGTGTATCATCTTCTGTGACAGGAGTATCCCAACTAGCACCTGCGGACCCTAAGGTGGTTATCAAAACCAAGCAAGAAAAGCACTGCCTGTTCATTACCAACAAATATGAGGCCAGTGTAGCTATGCTGATATTGTTAATAGACAGTTTTATACCCATGTCATTTACTACCTCATTCCATATGTGTAGAATAAGTTACACAAATATTGATAGGGTAAGTACTGTGGGCTGAAGCATAATTTTACTAATTAAGTACAAGGTTTTGTTTCCGTTAAGCGACTGTATGAGTTCTGTAGGAACTGGCAAAGTGGGGCTGCATTTTAGAAAGACGTTTACGAATTCAAGTTTACTCACCTACATCAACATCAAAGCCAACAACCTCCTCCTCCTGGTACTGCTTAAATCGATTCATCACTGTCTGTCTGAATACGTTGCAAGTTGGTTGGTCATTGTTGGTTAGGTGGATCTCTGTCAGGATAGGGTTAAGCGTATTCTGAATGTAGTAAGCCACAGCATTGAGAATTTGTCGTGAGGCAAGCTCGACTGGGAAGCCATATACACCAGTACTGATGGCTGGGATGGCAATGGACTTCATTTTGAGTTGGTTTGCCAGTTTCAGGCAAGCCAATACGCTATTATAAAGGAGATGCTCCTCAAAACTTGGCTCCTCGTCGGTCTTCGGTCTGGCTGTCTTCCCGTGTGGCCATTTTGGTCCTGCAACGTGGATGACCTTCTTACAGGGTAAGCTACCACTGGAGGTATAAACAGGCTCACCGACAAAAAGTTCCCGGCGATGAAAGTCCTTCAGTATCTGCTCACACTCGGTCTGGATAACTCTCCCACCTGAAACAGATTGACACAAAGAAGTGGTCACAATTCAGATCAAACAAACAGGAAGCAAGAGTCATTGCAATGAAGTAAACTCTACTAAACTCACCAGCTTCAACAATAGCAGCTGCTAGTCCTCCAACGTGTTTCAGTTCCACATTGGCAGCATTTACTATGCAGTCAACTTTTTGCCTTGTCAAATCGCCTCTGCACACTTTCAGAATGAAGCCATTTGGTAGAGAAAATCGGCAAAGTACCTCTGTGGTCATCAGCGCTCCACCTGAACCGGCTACTTCCTCCTCATCTTCTTCCACATTCTCACTGATCACACACTGAAACTCTGCTTCCAGTGATTCCAGAAACTTCCTCCCCTTATCTTCTCGGAACAGTTGAGCCATGCCGGTCTTTGAGACTGGATAAGGCTGTTCCTTAATTCTTGCTACCAGAGAAGTCAAGAACTGACTTGCAGCCTCTAAACCTTCTTCATTTCCTTGAATGGTAAACCCCTTGGTGTGACCACTCATCACTGGTTGGATTTTGACACGGTTTGGGGCATTCTGCTTTTCGAGGTTTACCAGGTCAGCGCCATGAAATGTGGTGATGAGTCGTATTTTTATCTTGTTTGCTTTAATAAGTCTCATCATGATGACATTATCTTTCAAAAAAGTGTCGATTTTTTTTTTTGTTTCATCCATGTTGGTTTTGAATCCAGCGAGTTCAACAACACTGCCTGCAGACCAACAAAGATCAAAATTCTTTACAGTTATAAAGGACAGAAAAATGAATTGTTTTAAGATGCAGGAGAATACACTTTAACCAGTGATTTAATAAGTCTAATTACTTTACACAGATTTTATCATGGAACCTTTCAAAAACGCATTTTCTTCAACCCCTCATGAGAAGCGCGCTCTATTTAAAAGTTTCCCATGAAACACTGAAATTGAACTACAATAAGATTTGGCTTAAGGTAACAAAATCGAAATCATTTTAATAATTTTTTTGTTATTGTTTTGTTTTACCTCCATTTTTGCTGATAGCCGCCATTACAAATCTCTGGTTGTTGATACTATCTAGGAGTTTTTGGCCATTTTGGTTTTGAAGGACATCCAAGGTAGCTTTCCCTCTTATGGGAATGACATCGTCTACTATTTCATGATCAACGTAAGCCTTGGCTTGGGTTGCGTCCTTCCTCGTTGCACCAGATATGATTATCTTGCCATCATCAGATCCCTTGCATGCTGCACGAATTCCCTGCGACCCTAAGATTTCATGGATTTTGTCTTTAAGGATGTGAACAAACTGCACTTTGTTTTTGCCCGCCTTAAATTCTATGCATTCAAGACTGTCCATTTCCCTCCGCATCAACAGCTCTGCTTCTTGTACATTCTTTCGGGTGCCTTCAAACCTGAGCATGATTTTATCCTGCATGGCAGTAATAGTGATCTTCAAGTCAGGATAGGCATTTTCAATTTTTTCCTTGATTCCACAAATTATAAAAGGCTGAAGCTTCTCTGCTGTTAACTTTATGTCTTGTATTGTTTGCTGGGCTTCAAACTCCGCCTTTTCTTTCAACTCCTTGATGATTTTATTGATGTCATTAGCTCCTCTATCAACATCTTGCTGCACTCCAACCAGATGGACTATGTGCTGAGTAGCATCCAATTCGACGGAAAAGCCATTGGTACCATGCTGATCTATTTTAGCAACAGTGTCTTTCCACAATGGCACTGGGATTGCGATCCTTGAAGACTTACACCTGTTCAGGAAGTCCTTCAAAGCTTCAGGTGCGACTTCAGGCCATTTGAGCCAGGATGATTGCCTTTGCCCGTCTTCTGGTAGAGGCTCCAGCCTAGCTACTGTCTTGTCGTCACCATCGGGCCATTTCAGAGAGGCCTTCACGTCGCTCAGCTTCTGAACTAAAGTCTTCCTTGTGTGTTGCCCCTTTTGTCCGAAGATAAACTCCATGAAAGCTTGTGGCACCTGTACAGAGACTGGCTTAGGGATGTGCGGAGTCGGGACATCTAACGGGCTTATCCTTCCGAGACATTCATGGTACTCTTCAACTGATAGCTCGACACCTCCAACCTTGTGGGGTCCTTTCTTGGAAAGAACATCTCTGATAACTATACAAAATAAACAACACTTCGATTTTTAAGAGTAACTCTGATCAAAACTTCAGTAAGCATACATGTTACAAGTAGAATGGGTTACGTAGCAAATGATTTAAGAATCTTAAATCAAAAAGATAAACAAACCCCAAACTCACCGTTAGAACTTCAGGCTTCTCAAAAGCAAAATCTCTTTTCTTAATTATTGTTGACATACCTTTCCAGTCATCAAAGAAAACAATAGCCTGAGTTTCTTCTGGCCCTTGTTGTACGTCCCTGACGCCTTCTCCGCCACTTTTCTTTTTGTTGTCAAAATACAACTCAATCATCTCCAAACTCTCTCTCGACGAGACACCTTCAACGCAAAGAAATACAGAACACGATTAAAAGGTCCAAGTCAATATGCTTTGTCAACAACTGAACATACAATTAATTATAGCCACAGTACAATATTGTAACCCTTTAACCAATAAATCGGAAACTTCTGATGTGTGACGCATTCAGCCATTCCGATGAAATTACATCTGGGATTGACTCACTGGATAACACGTGTCGACATTTAATCAATTACCATCGTCGACATTTCATCAATTACCATCGTCGACATTTCATCAATTACCATCGTCATAATCTAATATCTCTTAGATACTGTCAAGATAACCATCATTGACGTCAGATCTTACCTTGCACTAAGATACAATCTGACTCGTGTACTTTTTCAGCCGTGACATAGAGTCCTTTCAACTTCTTCAAAGAAATCTTCTTAATTACATTCTCCAGATCTACAGACATTCAGGAAAGAAGGCATAATGCACAAAATACTTAAAACATCAATGAATACTGCTCTTGAAGTAGTTGTAAATTCTGAATAGTCCTTCGCCGTAAGTCATCTTTCTAAACAAAGCTGCACATTGTTACTTTGAATCACGTCCACTCTTTGAAAGAATTGAATAATCACGATCAATACCAAAGGAGCAAAGAAATGTGAGCATTTTTTAAATGTATAGCTTTCAGGAGTGCTACATACCTTCGATGTCCTCGTTGAATGTGCAAAGAGCTGTACCGGGCATCTCACCATATCGTATTTCGAAGTCCTCCGTGCCACATCGATTCTCAACGAACATTGCCACAAGGTCTGAGGTACATTCATCAGGAATTCCTTTCAGCAACAGACATCGTTTATTGACAGGACGAGGGCGGGGCTTCTTCTTTACAACCAGTCTCACCGACAGAGTTGCTCCTCCAACCTTATGTTGTTTGGCAATCACTTTGCTGACAACTAAAACAAAACAGAACAACGGTATCACGCCGTTTTTCACTCGAAGTTTACATTAGTTTCACTGTGCGACATGACTGTTTAGAATTGTCACTGTCTTCCAAGAGATCTCATACAACTTGATACAAGACAAATTTTTAGAATGTTTCATTGTGCTTTGTATAGGATTCAATTAATTTGTGCTTTGTAGGATTCAATTCATCTCATTCCTCATATTGTGAAAGCTGGATTTCTTTTTCTATCCAGAGGATAATTTGTGGAATTTGCACTTTTACTGCAATTCCACAGCTCTTTACTTTCAGTCTAAATGCATTTCACGTTTGCAGAAATGTGTCAGATGGTTTCTTTCAAGCGATGTTCTGGAATAACAGAAATAAAACAACGCACGTGATGGATCTTGGTATGTCAACCGAATGGCTCCAGTCTTGACATCATGTTCCCAGGTTTCGATTTCGCCACCTCCAGATCTTCTAGAATTCTCAAAATGCATCTTGAGCATTTCCTCTGACGAAGGACTGAAACCTGTAACTTCAACAAATTTCTCCTCTTGCTCCTCCTCAACCTGCTGCCCATTTGGTGAATCCCCCTGAAGAAATTGGAGACAGAATGAGAAAAGTCTAATCAATTCATGTTACGTCTTTAAGACTGACAAATAAATAATATTTATTTGTTCCAAAGATATATAATACAAAACTGCTAAAAACTGCTTGCTGACTACAATGACCTAAAATATAAATCACAAAATATGGAAGGCCTGACGTTTCGATCCCAGCAGAATCTTTCTCAAAGGCAAAGAAAATTAGATAGCATTTTTTTTTATCTTTGAGAAAGATTCTGCTAGGATCGAAACATCAGGCCCTCCATATTTTGAGATTTTTTAATTTGTTGTTAAAAATGGGTACCATTATAAAACTGAAGAAATGTTATCGTGAAGTTGTACCTCTTGCACCTGATCATCACGATGTGAGCTAACTTCGTTGTTTTCCTGCCTTTCTGGAGCTGTCCGTTTCTCCTCAGGGCTTTCTTTTGGGCTTTGTTTTTTGGCCTTACCGCGGTTCCTCTTACGCTTACTGGTATGACCAGATGGCACAGCAGGGCCATCAGAGGACTTGGTCATTTCTTGGGGTACATGACCGTCCTGCTTGCCCGTATCATTCTGCCTTGTTGCTATCTTAGGCTCAGATCTTTTAGAACTGCCATTTTGTTTTTTCCCACTGCCTGTGAACTGACACTGTTTACCATCAACTGGCTGATGGTTACGACCTAGATTAGACAAAGAATAAAACAGCGTCTGCAAATGTTTGCAAGTTTGGAGGTGGTTCATATTCAACTGAAAGGGACCATCTGCGTCCAAAATGTTACTCATTTGGAACATAATTCTGTTCAGAATAAAGAGTTAACTTAAATTTCTGTGTCTGGCTCCAACTGTATAAGTAAACACTGCACTCGTAAATCAAAACACCTTTTTATAGTTTGCCACAACAGTATTAGCAACTAGAGACTCTGATAGCATTTGCAGTTTGCGACCATCACTTTCCTTTGTCAACTTTTGGTCATATGGATTGAGTAGGTAGTCAGATGGCACATGTAACTGCATTCCAATATCTAATAATCAGCATTCCACGTGTTACTTACTGGTGCCGGCAGATAATACCGCCTCGGCTTGAAAAGATCCTTGTTCCTGGGTTTCACTGCCTTTACCACGCGTATAATTACTTACAGCTTCTTCTGAAGAACTTGTTCTCATAGTGGGAGCCTGCAGTGAATGTTGTGATTGAGAAGGATTGATTGATGAAAAAAAAGCAAACCCATGTGCCATTAGAGAAATTTCCTGCTATTTTCTTTTTGCATTCACAAAATAATGAGGGCCTGAATCTTTCTCAAATCTTGTACCAATGCACTTAATTACTGGATGCATTACTCAAGGGATGCTAAATAAGCTACACTGAAAAATTGCCCGAGTAACATTTAACCCAAGGCTGGCTGAAAACTGCAACAACCTAAAATGTGGGTTGTGTCAACCCAGTCTTAGTGGTGGAAATCAATTTCTTGTTTCTTTCAACCAAGGAGTGGTTAATATTAATCCCTTTTACTAGAAAAAAATGAACGAGAAATTCAGTCTACTCGCACAAACGTGGTTGAAATAACCTATATTGGAGTAGTTGTAGTTTTCAACCTCCGAAGCAGTTTTTAGCTTTCATTTTTGAACTTGGGGGACATTTCCTTCGCGTCACATGAATGGCTGATCTGCTTTTTCCTCCACAAAGACTGATTCCGCGCTGTACATATAACATCAGTGCAGTAGAACTCAGACAAATCGACCATAAATATAGAAAAGTTAGGATTTCAATGAATTAATCGTAATGCATCGTAATGCATCAAATTCATGGAAAGAATGGAGAATTTTAAGATTTTTAATATTATCAAAACTGGTATGGGCTTTGATTTCGTTTTTTTTAACTCGCAGGTTCCCCAAATAAAAAAATTCACTTCGCTTTCAATCAAATATGGCCAACAACTGAAAAGAGTCTATTAGAAAGGTAGAGACTACTGTAGTTAGATACCTCGTTTTTTATGCATGGTTCTTTGGGGTCTGGGCCGTACAAATCAGCATCATCTGTATCTTGATAAGACCCCTCTCCACCTGCAGTGTTGTCTTTGAATGACTGTGTGGAAGAATCTCCTCCAGAGTTTGATGCACGTTGGGTTGAAACTGGACCTGAAGGGGTCTGAGATGTTGCAATTACAGTTGATACATCAATAACTTTCCGTGATGGACTCAATAAGACAATATGGGCTATACCTACGGACTGAACCGATTTCCTCTTATCCAAATACAAGTATCATCTTTTCTACAAAACTTTCTTCATAACTCACTCAGAGATCCAACAGATGTTTCACAATTACTATAAACGGAAGTATCAAGTGATGTCTCCAGCCACATAGTTCCTAATACATCCATACCTCTTCAGTCTTAGGCGATGCTGCATGGGCAGTAAGGTTGAGGGTGGCAGCATTCCGTGATAAACCGCTTTGTTGACTGGACGGGAAACCTTTCTGGCTTGCTGATTGGTTCTGCACATGTGTAGCAGACGCTGTCTTTCCATGACTGTCACTTGCCAAGGCCCCTTTGGGATCATCCTATGGAAACAAAGCATTTACAGGTTTATCGCTAATTTGGGCGGTGCTAGTTCGGTGTACTGGAGCCACAGCTTCAATTTAAACTTCATAAAAAATACTGCAATCTCTCCACCGATTCGTATGAGCTGCTCATCTTTTTGCACGAAGAAAATAATCAAAATACAAACTCTGAAAAGTACATGACTTGTATGAATCACAGACAAAGGTTTACCATATCCACAGCGTCCACATAGTCAAAAGATTCATTATCATCTGACTGGGACGACTCGTCTGAAGGAAAGGATTTCCTGACCTCTAAGGGAATGATTTCCCACCCATCCACCTTCAACTCATGTTGCGATTTTGACACCACGTGCTGAGCACCTGTCGAACGAATAATTTCATGTAAATGTTGGCTGAAAGCTCCTGATAAAACAGTACATAGATAACAACGTAATTAAAATTGCAAATGACCTACACTGAAAATCTTGTAGTGTCATGCATAGGATTAAAATAGCACAAAGGTCTTCATACTTAGAAATGACCAGGTTCTATATAACTAGCCCTGTATTTTAACCACACGTACTTGTTATGTGACGAGTATGCAAAAGAAACCGTTGGTAGGTACATATTACCGAATCTGAATTCTGGGATTTCTTCCCAAGTAAGAAAGCGGGAAGATTTTATTCGCACAAAACACCTCATTGCTAAAGCACATTGTTGATGCCCTCTAAGTTTTGATAACATCCTAAGGGATCTTGTCTTGAATGTGTTTTTTTCTCAGACACCGTAACGACTGATAAAATGTTAAACGTTCACAGGAAATATGGAACAGAGAATAATCGCTAATACAGCAGTAAGATTGTTTATGTGAGCCTAAACAACCAGTTGGTTGGCAAACATCCTCCAATAAGTGATTGTTTCAGAAGTTTGTTTAACCAACCACATGTGGCAATTACGCGTGGCTCGTGACTGGAGAACGTGAAGTTCAGGACCAATTAAATTTAATTCTTTATATCTGGATCTTCGCAAAGAATAAATGGTCACTGGTTTCGTCTTTTTGTTTTGTACTTTAAAAGCCTTGCACGAAAGAATAGCTCTGACAAAATTTGTTTCAAAACATTGTTTATGGGTAAAACGATGCTTTCTGCTTCTGCTGGCTACTGTACAATCGGCAAAATTCTGGCTGTCCCGTACAGATGACGCCGCAAGGGATTTGGTTGCACCTAAAAGAATTAATTTGTAAAATGAACTTGTTGGGAAAGAACAGCAAGATCAGTTCTGTCAATCTCGGTCTTGAAAGCGCCAAGAGTCGCAGAACACCTGACGTGGTTTGGTAGACAATTCCATTCTGGAATCGTCCAGGGGTACAATGAGTGAAGATAGCTTTGACCCAATATACCTTTAATATACCCGGCCTTGGAAATAACGGCAACTTCAGAATAGAATATATATTACTTTGCTCCAGTATTCTAAATATCTCTTGCTTTCAATATAATTTAACCTGTTGTTAACGAAATAACGTGTCAATCATTTAATCTTTTCTGTGCCTTTTTGTATCCTCTGTAGATTTTCACCCTATACTGCATGTATTCTACATGAAAGAGTTTTCGTTTACTTCCAGTTCCTTTAACGTTTC